ATAAGTCCCTGCCTTTTGTCAGCAGTAGGAATAATTTTCAATATCTGAGACACCCTGTCTGGCAAAGGTCATACCCTGTTCTCTAGCAGATCTTAATTTAGCACCTGCAAGTTCTTGGTGAAGTGTAAAACTTCAGGATGCAGGAAGATCCCTGGAGGCTGTTGTGTAGGGAATGTCTTCCCTATGTAGAGATATGAGTGAACTGCTGGGCATTTTGACCTCTCAATTAGAAGCAAATGGTTTTTACTGGGAGCTTGCAAGAACCATCCAAAGCACAGCTCTGCTGCAGCTCAGGGCTCCAGCATGGTGTCCAAGGTTGTTCTGAAATAGCTGCAGCTGATGGTGATGCAGTGATCCAGCTTCCAAGCACCTCAGCTGATGCCCCAGTGACTGCCTGGCTAGTTGGCTTCCTCCATGGACTCCCTGCATTCCTGCTGCCCTGGGCAGTCTGCAGGCTGTGGCTCGGAGCACAGGGGAGGAGGCAGGTGTGAGGTGTGAGGATGATGCAGCAGACATATCCTTTGCTGTTATTTAAATCCATTCCTTGGCTCCACTGCCAAAGGAGTTGAGGTCATATACGTGGCTCCTTAAAGCCTTGAGACAGGTACAGCTCAATTCAGCAGAGAAATTGTTGTCACCAGACTCATGGGACTGAACAGCACAGGGAAACCTTACTGGGTGTTGCAGGGTGAGGGGAACCCTGGCTCCAGGCCATGGAGAATCCAGGGGAGTGCCCGTGGGAGCTCTCTGTGGTTGACTCTCATCCCTTACAAGATGTGTCTATCTGCAAGGCACAAACACACAGGGGGCAGGACTTTTGACAAGGGAATCTAGTGATAGGACAAGGCAGATGACTTTTAAATGAACGAGAGTAGGTTAGGTATTAGGAAGAAATTTAGGTATTGGGAAGAAATTCTTCCCTGTGAATGTGGGGAGGCCCTGGCAGAGGTCGCCCAGAGAAGATGTGGCTGTCCCTGTATCCCTGGAAGTATCCAAAGCCAGGCTGGATGGGACTTGGAGTAACCTGGAATAGTGGAAGGTGTCCCTGCCCATGGCAAGAGGGTGGAACTAAATGATCTTTACAGACTGTTCCAATCCAAACCGTTCTGTGATCCTTTGATTGTATGGCTCTGGAGTTTTTGCTGCTGGATTTTCAGTGTGCAACTGTGGACTCCTACCGGCACTGGCACCAGACAGCGGCTGCACACCAGGGCTTATCTCCAGACCTACCAGAAGCAGGAAACTCAGCGAGTTCCCAAACAAACCTCTGGTGCGGGAGGCCAGCGTCTCTGACCTCCGGGGGTCCTGAGTGTTTGAACAGGCTCCTAATCTGCTTGGGAAAGGCAGGAGAGCTGGGGAGGGAGAGGAGGGAGGGCTGGGGCTGTGCCCTGAGCGGGGTCGGCTGCTGCTCGTGGCTTTGATTGCTGAGGCTTGCTGTCTCAGGCTTGCGGGATTTGGCTGCCTGGCCGTGAACAAAAAAGCCGGATTCTCCCAGAGCCTTTATTCCCATGTCAAGATCACTGGTGGTTTCCCGAGGAGGAGTGGAGGGAGAGGAAGGCTTTTGTTGATGGTTTTTGACAGGCGTGGGGAAAAGCAAGGCTCAGCCTCTGCTCAGCTAAATCCTAGAATCATAGAATAGTTTGGGCTGGAAGGGTCCTTTAAAGGTCATCTTGTCCATTCCCCCTATAGTGCACCCCACAACTGCTCCTCAGCTTCCCCCCGTGTGGAACCAGCCCTGGGTAGCTCACTCCTGTGCTGGGACCATCCCAGAGCCTTGGCTCAACATCTCACTTTGATGGGGGTCCCCCCTTCCCCTGCCTCCTTCCAGAGGCTCCTGGCCCCCTGCTCCTTCCCAGCATCATCAGCCTGTCTTATCCAATCCCCACCCCAAATAACCCTGACCACAGACACTGACAGCCCAGAGGGCCCAAAGGACAGGGACATGCCAGGAAGGACGAGTGGAGAAGAGCTATGAGGAACAACCAGGCAAACTGACCTTCTGACACCCTCTGCCCTCCCTGCTCCTTCCTCCCACCCAGCATGCTTTTGCTTGCTCCTGTACATCATTAGCAGATTTGAACTGCAGTGGCACCCTGCCTGTGAGGATCATCTCCGTGGAAGATGCCAGGACTGTTGCATTCCTTAGCCAAGAGGGCCTGGCTCTGAGCTGGGATCTCTAACAGATGCCCGCTCTGCTTCCCTGAGAGACAGAAAACATGCTGAGGGCACATTGCCACTAGTCAGTCACCCTGGAATCCCCGCCTTATACACAGGACCAGTCTTCTCTCCACAGGTGCACAGGCAGAGAAATCCTCTCAGTGGTCAGTTAATTGTGTTTTCTTTTTTGTTTGGTTTGGTTTTGGTTTTGTTTTTCTTTCTGTTTTTTAAAGCAAAGAAAAATTACCCAAATGACAGGGATTTACTCTGTAGCCCACAGTGGTGCTGGGATGGGAGCAGCATCCCAGTGTGTCTCTTCCCCAGGTGCTGAGCCAGCCCAGTGATGTGCCCTCATTGTCCTGCCATCCTCATCCTCACCAGCCCCACATTGGCAGGGCCTGCCAGGAGAACCTGCCTGGGTGGAGAGTGCTCAGGAGCCAACACGGGATAATGATTCATAGTCTCAGCTTCCTGCTCCGGTGGTTCCTAAATCCAGACAGACTCAGGCTTGGACAGGCAGAGCAGGGGAAGATGGGGGCTTGGCATGGCAGGGAGCCTTCCTCTGCTGTTGCCCATCTTGACCCCAGGAAGTGGGCTCCTTGGTGGGATTTGCAGCTCCTGCTGCAGGGATTTGCAGCCCTGCAGACAGCAGAGCTGTTTGTTTCTGGGTGTCATTCTGTCAAGGAAGCAGCTTAGCCCAGGCCAGAGCCTATATATAGAGTCCCTGCCTGGGTGCACTTCTGGAGGGTTTTGTTGCCTTGATGCTGGATCCATCCCAGCTAGGCTGTCCCTGAGGAGGCAATGCTGCTGAACCTCTTGGATGGCAGCATATGTTCCTGAGGGTCTTGCTTCCCTGGAGTACCTGGGGAAAAATGTTGTGTGGCAAGATGATAAACAGCTTCTTAATAAAGTCACCACCATTCAAAATTAGCCATCCCATGGGATCCTCTCTTATCAAGCCCTGGTAGACAGAGCTATCAGGAGCCTGGCTCATTCCTGAATGAATACTCACTGCAAGCAGCGCTTGCTGGCCTTGGCCCCAGGACAACACTTGCTGGGCCACCTCACCAGTGCCAGGCCCTGAGCAGGGTTGTCACCGTGCCCCCATTGCCAGTGGATGGGCACTGGGTCAGTGGGTGCAGGCAGGAGAGCTGCAGACCTCTTCTCAGCACCTCCCCACGAGCAATGGGTGTTGGTGTTGTGCTTGGATGGGGTTCACAAATGTCCTTGGGAGTTGCTTGAACAACTTTGCATGAGCCATCCTTGCTCTGCCTGGCCTTGTTGGCTCCCTTGTGTCCTCCCTTCCTCTTCACACACTGCCAGCCCAGCCCTCACCTCTCTGTGTGCTCACACCCACTTTCCTCCTTCCCGGGCAGCAGGAGATGCACTGTGCTCACCCCTCCTAACCCTCAGATTTTCCAGCCCTGTATTTTTCTATCTCCCCCTGATTAAAGGCACCGGTCCCCCACCCTTATTCCCATCACCCTCCCACCTTGAGAAGACAAAAACCCGCCCAACCCCAACCCCAGCCCCACACAGCCAGCTCCTGCCGTTTATTCTTAAATCCCTTCCCTCCTGCCTTGCTGGTTTGAAAGCCTGTACCCTGGAATGGGCCTCCCAGCTTTCGCTGGCAACCCTGCTTCAGACTGACCGCCACAGATAGTGTTTGGGAGAGAAAAAAAAAATAATATATAAAATAATAATAAGGAAAAGGAAGCACAAAAAAGCTTCTCATCTCACTGAATCTCCTTGCTGAACTTTTCCTAGTCTCCTATGCCATGTGCTGGTGTGAGGCAGCCTTGGGAACCAAGAGGAAACTTTGGGGGTTTGTTTTCTCACCTGCATGCTTTGAGAAATTCTCCCTAGCAGCGCTGCTGCTGTACCCTCTGGCAGAGGGTGGGTGAGATGCCTCTCACACTGCTGCCCACTCCCTTGGTGCATTCATAGGGGTTTTTTTTGGCTTTTGGAAGTGGTTTGCTCAGGTAAGGCACCTCGACCCCACCTTCTGCACGTGTCATTGTTTGGGAAAGGAAAAAAAATAAAAGCAAGAAAAAGCAGAAAAATCTCTTGCCGAGGAGAGACCCTGAATCCAAGACAACCTCGCCCCTTGCCTGGGGCAGGGCTGAGGGAGGCTGTCCCTTCCTTTCAGCTTCTTTTCCTCCACTCTAGGTGATGGAGATGGAGGATGGAGGTGAGGTGGGAGCTACAACAGAAGAAAACACGGGCGGGGACAGGGCAGGTGCTGTCCCAAAACCCCGAGGGCGGGAAGGGGGTGCGGAGGGGACCCAACGCCCGGAGGGTTGTGTCTCCTCCGCATCCCCTCCCCGCCAGCATCCTGGGCAGCGCCCGGGAGGGCGGAGGGAAGGGAGGGCGATGCTCCGCTCGGGGTTTATTAGATTGGACATAATCATCTTTAAATAAGGGCAGCCCCCCCTCCACACCCCTCCTTGAGGTGGGGGTGGGGAGCGGAGCGCCTCGGGGCTTTCTAGATAAGGGCGACTAACGCATCCCCCGCTCCCGCAGGCAGAGCCGGGCAGCGCCGAGAGCCGCGCAGGGTCCGCCGTGCCCCGGGAACCCCGGCTGCAGGCAGAAAGGGGGTCCCCGCCGCGGTGCTCTCGCCTTCCTTCTCCTTCTCCTCCTCCTCTTCCTCCTCCTCCTCCTCCTCCTCTCGCAGGAGCAGAAGGGAGGAGAGCGGTGCCGGGGAAAAGTTGGGGGCAGCGGCTGCGGCGGGGGGCGGGGGACTGTGCCCCGGCGCTGCCGCCCGCCGCCCCCCTGAACACCCCATTTCCCCCGCGGCCACTCGCCCCCCACCTCCCAGCCCCCCAACTCCGTTCCCAAGGAGGATGCTGCGCGGCGGAGCCCCCCTGGCCGCGCTGCTGCTGGCGGCGCTCAGCCTGGCCCGCGGGGAGCCCCCGCCGGTCTCGGGGTGCGGGATGGAGGCTCCGAGCCGCCGCGCCGCGCCCCCGCATCTCCCGTACGGGCTGTACCCGCAGGGTCCCGCCGCGCACGGGGCGCTCGGAGCTGCATCCCCGCGGGGCCGGAGACCGCGGGGAGCCAGGGCAGGAGGAGAAGAGCCGCAGGGCGAGGCGGACGGCCGGGGCCGGGGCCGCAGCCGGTGGGAGAGGCGGCGGGGCCGGGAGCCGCAGGTGCCGGACCCTCCCCGGGAGCGGCCGCTGCCCGCCCTGTACTTCTCGGGCGGCCGGGAGCAGCTGGCGGCGCGGGCGGAGGCGCTGCCCGCAGTCCCGCGGGACGAGTTCACCCTGGAGCTGTGGGTGAAGGCGGAGGGCGGACAGAACAACCCGGCCATCATCGCAGGTAAACCCCGGCAGGGCGGGATGGGGACCCGGCACCCCCCGACCCTCCGCAAACATCGCACGGGGGAACTCCCTGACTTCCCCGCTCCGGCAGGTGACACCCCGCGCCCACACCCGCGCTGTCAGCACCGCGGGCGTGGAATATTCCTCCTTCCCTCGAGACCAAACCCTAAACCATCCCCTCCCCTCTGTTCCCACCCGCCCCGTCCTCCCAGCCCGCCCCCCTCCCCCCACCCCCCA